ATATACTACATAAGTGTGTGACAGACGTAGGATTATGTTAGTACAGTTATCTGTGCTGACATTTGATCTGTATAAATGTAATGAAATTTCGATAATAATTTTGTCTGGTATATTTATTCATAGAATAGTAAATTCCATGGAAATATTTCCATATATGGTATTGTGATGCAAAATGAATAATGAAACATTTTGAAAAACTCAAAAGCCTAACGGTTAAATCAAATGATATTCAACAGCACTCAAAGTTATCCGATAACTTCAACAGTCAGCGAAGTTATAATGTATTCCCTGAAGATTTACATTTCATTTCGGATAACCATAATAAAACAAATATTAACGACGTCTAAACATACAGAACCATATAAATAGATGCAAAGAAGTAGAAATTGAAGTATGTGCACTAATAGTTGGAATGATTTTATTGAACGTCTAGGAATTCCTGAACGGGAAGTATAAGCAGTTTTATTAATCGGTTAACAGAGTTTGATTTTAAGAAATATTTCAAGGTAAAAAAATAATCACGCACACAAAGCTATGAATATTGACCAGAAAACCCAGTCAAAAAAAAAACTCTGAAGTATTATATAAGAAATAAGGGATTTCTCACGTCCGACAGTTGACGAAAAAAGTAATAAGACCACTCGATAATAAATAAACGGTAAAAAAAAATGGCAGTTCAAAAGTGTTTTAACTTAGAAAAACTGGCTAGAGGTTCGTACCTTAAATGTTATTATCTACAAAAGTTTGTTCATATCTACTCATGAGTTTTAGAGCGCTCTGTAAGAGATACTCTTAAAACAATATTGTACAACCGTTAGAAAATGAAGCCTGTTGAATAAATAATTTTGAATTTTTATTTTATAAAAGTTAACGAAGTACTTAAAAAAATTATCAATCTTTAAAATGCCTTTCGTAGGATATTTCAAAACGAATAAAAAATAAACTACTATAGATATTGTGCATTTACTGAAAATATTGAAATGTAAGTGTAAAATAAAAAATATAATTTACTTTGTTTTCAGAAAAGTTATTTTTTAATATTTATTGAAAATAATTTTCGATATGTATCTCAAAAAAACATTCTATTAGCAAGAAGCTTATTTAAATTATGAATAACTGGATACTCCTATTTTTCACTTGTTAAGTGACAGTAGTCTTGTGTACAATACTTAACACTGATAGATAACGATGCGTCAAGAAAAATGTCTTTACAACAAATAGTATGGATTGCAATATATTTAATATTATCGTCAAGTGACAGCGACATGTTACGTCAAAAAGGCCGTGTTATTGAATTTTGTCACCCAACGATTACTATTCATGAAGTATAGTACAATCTGTTTCCTAGTTAAGTATCGCAATTAAAGTTTTTCGTCAGAAATATCCAAAATTATGAAAATGAATCATAGCCAACGAAAAATTCGTTAATGCATATTGTTTTTTTTTTTTTTAATTTGATTCCAGATTTACGGAGTTTCTATATAATATCTTATATCTACTACATAAAATAATAAAATATTGAAGGATTCTCAATACTGTACTTCAGTATTGATGTCCAATACTTAAATAATGCTTCTAATTAAGCGTAATTTCAGTATGAGGGGAGAGTTCCCCTTCACATTCCACCACTTAAAATTATATGAATTTTTATTTTACTAGGCGCTCCTTTAAAATTATAGGGCGAGCCAGGCGTTATTATCACACTCGATAATTATATTAACAATTAAATGAATCGTGAGCAGCACAAGTCAAGTTCGAATTCCTAAATTTGCTTAACAATGTAAATTTGGTCAAGTTATTTAATTAAAATAAGTACTGTTTGCGATAAAAGAAATGCTTACGACTTTAACGGTTATTCACGTTTTTATTTAGTTAAAAAAAATAATAAAAGGCAGTCAGACTTTGATGTTATCATTATTCATTACACAAGACAACAGCCATTTTGTTGTGTACAATGTTTAGGTGAACTGTACAGTGTGATTTATTATGAATTCTTCTATTCTTCCTCCCAATTTTGTTGTTAAATAATGATTTTTTCATAAAAATGTACTGAAAAAAATTATTTTTATGAGCCACGATAAATATAAAGTTTATTGTGAAAAAAAAATTAATTCTAAGTTTCGATTTTAGAGGTAACTTTTGAAAATAAATGGGAAACTATTATTGTTATTTTAATATTAAATGAAAAATAGTTGAAATAAAATGTTGCCCAGTCGATAACCAGTTTGGTATGATTATTTTTTGAGATATTATTATTTGAAGATTTAGAAAGAAGAAGAGCGGGGTAGAGTTTGGCGACGTTCAATTTTTACCATTACGACGTACTTAAAGAATTCTTCTACGTACTTAAAATACGTAATGCGAAATTCCATACAGAATTTATTTAAATATTCTAAACAAGAAAATGACTGTTGTCATGTTTAATTTATTTAATAATCCTATTCGTACTTATTAGATCATTACTGTGTTGAGCAATATTACTGAGCGTGTGTTACTTCGACAAGTAAGAAAAAACAATTCTTGAGGGTTAAAGAATTACGATTTGTAAGTACATTAGGTTATTTGAAGAAAATTATTGTGTGTTATCTGTGGATACATTTCATAAGTCATTCATACGTTTACATGCGTAGAGTAGGGATAATATAAATCCCTATTAGTATATTATTATGGTTTATTATATGTAATACCTGAATGATTCATCATTTTAATAATATATATTTTTACTGCGGGTATAGGAATTGTATATTTGAACCGGAATTGAATCCGACCCTTTTCTCGGATCTCGCACAGGTATAAACCCTCAAAATTGGCACTGGAGCAATTCACTCAGGTCGTTTTACAAACGATCGCATGTGATAAAGCTGTACTGTAGTTCATCAAAGCGCGAAAACTAATTTCGGCGATCGGTGACCCAAGTAAAAATGTAAATATGCACGTTTTCGTTAAATTTATAAAAAAAAAAAAAGCTACAAGTTTAAAATAGTAAATTAAAATAAAGTAAAAAAAAAATATTTCATTTAGAGAGCAATTGCAACATTTTATTGGCTAAAAAAAGTTTGATAGTTCCATGACAACTTAGGATAAATTCTTATCGAGTTACAAACATATTAAAACAGACCCGCTCTATGTATTGATGTGCTTGTAACTCAGTAAGTACACGTCCTAAAGTAGTTATCGACCCAACATAATTTTTTGTATGAAAAGAGCTATTTTAAAATTCCAAAAATGTTATTTAATTATTTTTATTAAAGACAAATAATAAAAAATAAGCGTTTAACATAGTCCAAAACGATAAAAATTATTTAAAAGAGAAAGTAAAAAAATATATTTAGCAGTTATAACAGTTGTAGAATTTAAGGCTGGCACACCCTGTAGTGTAATAATGTCTAANATAGTTGCAGAATTTAAGGCTGGCACACCCTGTAGTGTAATAATGTCTAATTTGGCAATTTTTATACAAGTGCAGTAGATACAAGTTATTGGGAAATGAACCGCGAGCAGCTTTGTAAAATAATGGGTCAAAAATTGTCCACATTCTAGTAAATGTTAAAACACGCTTCTTTGCGATCCTACAATAAGTTACAAAGTATGAAGATCAAAGATTGTCACATTTTGTTACCTAAGTTAATCAAAATATACTACGAAATGTTTTATTTTCCATAGTTTTCAGAACAAAACCGATTAAGTGGAAGAAGCCAAATATACAATAATGAACGTCACTTATTTCTATATTTCAAATAACCAGGTGATTGGTCTGAAAATTACATTTATTTGTCATCGTCCTCTTTTAAAACACAAAGATTGCTTTGTTTTATATTTCTCAAAGTGTATATCAAAACCAATCTAATACTGTACAGCTTATACTGATAAATTTTTGTCTATTTCAGTTTTATCATGAAGATTTATCAAATATTAGGTTAAGTACTATTTTTCTATCGTAAAAAAGTTATTTTTTAAATAATTTTGAATAAATTAAACCTTTGATAATATTAATGAAATAAAAGGGAAACTAAAATTGGGATATGATGAATAATACTGGAACAACTTTGCGATAATTGAAAAAACAACACCCGATACTACAAATGTTTCTACATTGTGTTAATTATATCCAAACAGCTTAAAAATAGGATTTTGTTCGAGTTTTTACTAGTTCCATTAAGTATATGGTGACATGTTTTATTCGGATGTTTCCTTTCGTTACAATCAGCACCAGACATCATGAAAATGTTCATTTTATCAAACTATACGAGTGTGAATTTTCCTATGTAATTACACAGACGACATTGTATAAAACTAGTTAATTCAACAGAAACTTATTATTGTTTAACTTTGACTTGAACTTTATATTGTCTTTGCTTGTGGAGAAGTAGTCCTATTTAAATCCGAAACTTTTCTAAAAGACACCGGATACTTCGAAAACTCGACGAAAAAATGTAGCGGATGCCAAATTTTGCTGAAAACTCAAAACAGGAAATTCTTTTCAGGGTAAAAGATACAGACCAGACATGCAGTTTATGCATAAGTTACAAAGCTAATGCGGAACCTGAACGGAAGCTAATTCAACATATACAAATCTTAGGCGTGTAAAATCATTTTTAACAAAATAATTCTAGAAACAATAAATAAAAAACGCTAATATATGTACATTATAACTTACATGTATACCTAATAAATAGAATTATAATTACCAGTGAGATTGAAACCAATAGATTTCGAATTAACTTTGACCTTTAGAGTTGTTGAATTGCTTAACTTTAGAAATAAAAAGTTTTATAAGTTATGATAAAAATTAATAAAATTACTGTTGATAATTTTTTCGATAGTAAACAGTTTATAGATATACTAATATTTGACAAAAGTAAAATTAAAACTCACTATTTCATTGTTCTGATGAATAAATGGGTTAGATAACTAATAAATTTAAAATACATATGAACACACAGTTGCATATATATAATAAATTTTCAAAAAACCCTATTTTGATATGGCATTCCACTCACCTTTAACGAAAATTTCGCGACCACCTGAAAAATAAAAATAAACATTTACGTTAAAAACAAATAAATTACATTTTCATTGCGACAGTGTGATAAATGTTCATATTATGGCTTATATTAAATGATAAATGGCAAAAGAAAAAAAACTAAACCGTAACGTTAGCTACACGAGAACTTGATAAAATTCACACGACATATTTAAGGTTTACCTAGCAAATCGAAATTCTAAGTATACATTACAAGTATATTTAATTCAATTGATATTAGTAAGGGAGTTTCGGTAATCACGAGGACTACATGTTTTTATTTGTTACCAAACATTATAGCACTGCAAATATTTAACATTGGTGCCTTTTTTACCAAGTACGATATCTTTTGTTAAATACCGAAAATCATAATAACAAATGAAATCGGTCATGATGAAAAATAAAATAAATTTCAATCGGTAAAGTTTAGTAGCCTAAAGTTATTATTCGTCGCACGCGTTGATAATAAGAACACCGCTGACTACTCGGTATTAACGTGGTTTCCTAAGGTATTTGCATCTATAAATTTTAACCACTAAACATTTGTACAAATTTAATGTAAAACGTGTTAAAATTGTCGGATTGTATCAACTTGAAGACTTTCCGTTTCAAATGTCACGCGTCATTTGGTATCTACATTGTTTACATTTGTCGGCCATACACATCACTACATTTTTGCAATATGCGTATTGAATAAAGTCGCGTGTTCGCAGTAATTGAAATTAATTGTATTATGTTAGAGAACCAACGCACGTAAACATAATATTTTTCCACCGATGATTTATCTCAATGTCCCTGTATGCGAAGAAGTAATCAATACGATTATTTATTCAGCGCAGGATACACTGTAATTAAACAGTTGATTTATAATTAATCGAACAATGCTCGCGGATTTCGTAAAAAAAACCTCAAATAAAATGCAAATAATGACAAAATATTCATTAAACTATTTGCTTAATCGTTACTGATAAAGCTGAATTATAGAAATAATAAAGATAAATCATTATCAATCAACCACATTTCGTTTGCAGGCTCAAGTTCAGCACAGCGGATTTCGGTTAACATTTTGCCCCATTACTAAAATGTAGACCTTAATTTACATTAAGAACAGCTTAATGCGGAGATAAGATAAAAGGCCTCAGAATAACGATCATCGCATTTGTATTACTACGGTTAATGGGACAGCCGAATCATGAATAGAGACCGACCAAATAGTTGTACCCGTAAAAGCAGCTGTACTCCTACCGATGTGCTTGCATAGTTAAATAGAACGTGAAATTGAAAATACAAGCGCAGACAATAGCACAACTGCTATCGAAAAGCTTTTTATAGTGAATATATATTGGCAAGTGTAAACGGCCAAACATTTCGAATGTTTTGCACCGCAACTGTTTAAAGATAACAACATTTAAAAAGTAACATTTTTCATAATCCACCAACAGCAAATGGAAATATATAAAATAGACTGAAACGGCGAAAAAGACAGCATGACTTTTCTAATATAAACGCGATTTATGCCGAACAATAAGGAGTACTTTATTAATTTCATCTGAACAACAATGTATGGTGAGAATACGCATGGCAATAGTATTATACCACTTAATTATTATTTTTTCTACCACAACGCTGTGCTGCGACAGCAGATAACCTCGACGGGATCCGGCTTGGATATAATCACTACACTCGGCCTGGGTGTTGTATACGTCCGTGCGTTATTGTCTCTTGCCGACTTGTATATATATATATATATATATATTATATAACTCTCTCGAGTTTCTATAGGGAGGAAACCGAGTCCCTTGCAAACCATTTATACCCGTAAAAACGTTCGAGAGTTGTCAACCGAACTGAGTCGGTATAAACTATATCTAATGGAGAACGGTTTAAAGGCAATAAAAAGAGAAAAGAAGGAAAAAAGCGATTCCGAACGAGATAAATTGGACGAGAAAAAAACTATTATGTTAACTGATCCGGTTGCAATTATTTATAGCAACTTAAGTGTGCCATGCAGTTTACGTTTAATTTATAGAATTTTGCTGTAACTGTGAATGCATTTAACGTCTCATAAGTCGTATGAAACAGTATTCCTCTGCTTCAGCGAAATTCCGGCAAATTATGATAACTATTATTATTATTATTGGGGTTCTATAATAGACGTTAAGAGCGTAACAGACTGTTTGAATACGGCCGTTATGTGAGCAGAAGACCAACCCTGAATAATGTAAACACATTTCCTGTGATCGAGTATCGTCCTTTGGGCTTTGAAGTTTATTGAGTTAAAAGGTCCATAATAGTTATCGTTTTAATACGAACGCCGAATTGACATTGTAGATAACGTAATTATATTATATCAGATCGCTTGTATATGAATTTGGATAAACAATGATTAAGATGCTCAGAGCACAAAGTATCTTAATCATTTTCCAGCTTTTCATATTTGCAAAGTTGAAAATTATCTTAGCAAATCTGATAAGATAATATACTTGCAACATATATTAAAGTCAGAAAAAACATATCATTGAAAAAGTTCATCAAACTTTATTGATATCAACTTTGTTTGTAACCAAATTTCGTCGGTAAGATGGATCGAAGTTTTAAGTTATGACACCTTAACTATCGTGTACATCATTTTACAAACCTTGTGGGTCTAAAACATTCTAAACTATACTAGTTTAATTATAAAAAAAACCCGAATTTAAGGTATAGGCTTAGCTGACCTCGTTTTATCAGCCTGAACATTTCAACTACCTTTACATAACGTGCTTATATTGCATAAAATCTCTAGATCTCCATTTGACCACAATAAAAGAAAATATGCGATCAAAAAATAATTCAGTATCCATAAGTAATCATTTTGTTGTTTATTTTAGTATGTATTTTTCATATGTCTGTATACATGCGAAAATATTATTTATTATAGTAAAAAATACTTTTTTTTTTTTGACAGTAACTCACNTATTGTATTGAATATTATTTATTATAGTAAAAAATACTTTTTTTTTTTGACAGTAACTCACAATTGAAATACTCTGATACTTCTTAGATATCTTTAATTTCGTTTAAGTCAATCATTGCNTTATTATAGTAAAAAATACTTTTTTTTTTTTGACAGTAACTCACAATTGAAATACTCTGATACTTCTTAGATATCTTTAATTTCGTTTAAGTCAATCATTGCGAGTTAGAATATCAGTTATACTTCACATTGTCACTCAATACGTNGCGAGTTAGAATATCAGTTATACTTCACATTGTCACTCAATACGTTCATGTCATAGTGTGTCGTGCGAAAGTAACTTTGTAAACAGTTTTAATGGATACACTTCTCCTCTAAAAGTATATAAGACTAAGCAATGATAAAAATTCTAGGAGTCATAGTTCATACGCTGGCTGTTTTGTTTCTCGCAAATTGAGTGCGTCTGCCAAGACAATCGATAACTGTTGACATTATTTTCTTAATTCAAACTAAACAAAACGTTCATGATCTGTTAAATATAAAAACTACAACACTAAAATCGACGACAATGCACGCTAGCAAAAAGACTAAAATATATTAATATGATATGCTTAAGTTAAGAGTTAAAAGTTTTTTACGAATTGAAAAGAGTCCCAAAAATAATCCAGCAAAAAAAAATATGTGCTATAGAAGCAACCTAACAAAATGCGTTAGTGTCGGCTTGGCACCATAAAAAGAGCTAAATCTCTAAGGTGATATTTTGATCGGACAGGTTTATAATAATCAGGGCGTCCGAAAATAAGTCCATATTTATTTCCAATAAATATATATATTTATAAGAATAAATAAGCAGTAATAAAAAAAAAACTTATATAAAATATCTAACGAATAATAACACGGATATTGAAAAACAATGAAATCGATGTGATTTCTTTTTAACATACAGCATGGAAAACGTATTGCTCTGGAAAGACTTTGAAAAAATGTCATCTCGAGTAGACGGCGGTCGCGGCATTAGAATTACACTGGACCAGAGACTCGTTCGTATGAACTGTATATGTGTTGTAGAGTAACGGCGCGCGGAGCAAAATAAAGGATACTATAATTTTGAACAGCCGTTTTTTAACCGGCCAATATTAATACATAATGATAAGCGTGTACGAGTGTGTGCGTATTGTGAAGGCACGGAAGGAACCGTTTAACGAGATTGACTGGGACACTCATTGTTATAACGTTTGCATGCACAATCGTTTGATTAAAATGCCGAAACGGTCTAAAAGCACGGAACGTAATTTGTGTCATGTGCTGACAAAAGCTGTTGTTGCGTGCGAGCCGTGCACGATATTTGTACGCCTTTCTTGCCATTTTTATCGTTGGGGTTCTTTGTCAGATCTTATCGAACTATGATTTCTCAGTAAACAACACTATTTACATGGGAAATAACGTATCGTTAAACTCAACACCGTGTACCTTAAGGCACTTTCCCGAGAAATGTATCATTAGCCATTACATTACTAGCGAAAATTATGTCATGACTTTTTATTTCCAAAATATATACCGCTGTTGATATCTTCAATTATGCACATTTTGTAATTACCTACTTGGAAATACATGATATTACGCACGCGGTTTACTAGTCGACACTGCTTTAGAAAGAAATTTTAGAAAGTTCTATTAAACAATAAAACTTCTTGCGTATTAAAGTTTAACGACTCTGAAGTCCGAGTCCAAACAAATAAAATTCAAAACTTATTATTCTAATATTTATTATATCAAACATGTATACAAAAATGGACAAAGACCAAATAGAGTTCAATATTCTTAAATATACACAACATTTATTTTCATTCTATAATTTTTTAATAAAATCTACTTGAGGTATTGGTAAAATATTTTAAGCCTTTCGGGGCACTAAAAATATAATAAATAACAAATACTGACCCCAATTATCGAATATTAAACTCTTGGTAGCGATAAATCTCAGTATAAACAATTTGCCAGATGACTAACTTTTTAGAAATATATTTCATTCCATATATTTTTTC